CTGCTCGGGCACGTCTGCGTCCTCGAAGTCTGTGTCGGGCCTGTCGCCTGCCAGGATGGCCGACTCCACCTCGTCAGGCTCGAAGTCCGCGAACGGGGGCTCGCAGAACAAAATCTCGTACACCAGCATCCCGTACGCATACACGTCCACCTTGGCGGTGTAGTTGGAGCTACTCAGCAAAAGTTCGGGCGACATCCACTGCAATGTGCCGATGCGACAAGTCAGCCTGCTGCTGGATGTATAATTCGAGGCTTCAGAGCACGCCGAACTAGCTCTGGCCCAGCGATGATGTTGACCTCCTGAAGAGCCACCACGCAGAATATGCTGATTATGTACCTAGAAGGGAAACAACGGACACATAAACTGCGGATGTTCTAAACTGATTTCTCAGATCCGCGCTGGACACCCATCCCTGGCGCCTGGAGCTCGCCAGGGGCGGCACTGCGCCGCCAGCTCGGATCCAAGAGATCCACGCAGAACGTCGAAAGTTGAGGCTCATGCCGTCCTTTCTCCTTCGAGTACCGCGCTGTGGCTGAGGTCCCTCGCACCCACTGCGCCCTCGGGCCCGAGGGCGACGTCGGAGGCCGGCGAGACGACCAAGGCGCGGCGCGACGCGGCGGCCGGCGACGGCCACGGCGGCGGGATGTCACCGTCTGCGGCCCGGGAGTGCCTCGACGAGCTGTGGTTGGAGCCGGACCTGTCGGGGGGGGCGGTCGGGTATAGTATAGCAGAGGGTAGGGCAGAGAATCGGCTCACGTAGCGGGTCTCGTGGCGCCTCCTGGAGCTGGGAGGCGCCCGTGCATCGAGGAATGGGCCGGAGCCAGCTGCATGCAGCAGGCTTCGTGCACAGAACCCTTTCCCTACGGTAGACGCTCGACCAGAAGAAACCTTCTACAAGAAACCCAACCCTGAGACCCCAATCAATTTTGGTGAGGGAACGTCACGCATTCCATAGTAGACCCAGCGAAACCCAAGAAACCCGGGGCGCCCTGGAGGCAAGCAGGGTGTTTCTTGGCATGGGTTTCCACAGTATCCTGCCCGAACCTGGAGCTGCTGAAGCTGGAGCAGGAGCGGGAGAACTCTGACGGCTCGGGTGACCCATGGTCGGGCGTGCCCCGCGCGCCGATGCGCATGCCGTTGAGGCTCACACTCGGGGCGCCGCCGATGCGGCTGGGCATGGAAGCAGCGTGGCGGGAGCCACCCGGGAGCTCGAGCCCGATGGCCTGCGAAAGCTGCGGGGGGTTCGGCATCGTCCACTCGCCGTCGTGGCACCTGATGGGCACGACGGGGCAGCTCTGCCGCCGGAGGCCCGCAGTGCCCTCCCGCCCAGCTGAGCAGCCCTGCGCGAGCGTCTTGGTCGCGCAGCGGGGGCTGCTGCTGGGCGAGCACGCCGAGTGGCGCGAGGACTCGCCGCTGTGGCAGTGCGAGACCGCCTCGTCCAGGCGGGGCAACGCTGCGTCCTTCATGGCCGCCGGCATGCTCGAGCTCCGGAGCACGCGGGCCTCCCGCCAGCTCGGCGCGGGGCCTGGCGGCCACTGGCCATCGCTCGGGCGTCCACTCCCTGTGCTTTTTTCGGTTTCGCGCGTGGTTTTTTCGCCAGGTGGTCAAGGATGCTCCTCGATGGTCCTCGCCGAATGAAAAAAATGCACACGTCCGAGCGATGCCAAGGCCACAGCAGGCCCCGGGCAGGCTGCGCCTCGGGCCAGGCGCCAGTCGTCTGGCGGGCGCTGGCGCCGCGGGCCCTGGCCATGCCGAAGTCGGCGACCTTGGCGAGCGGCACGTCTTGCAGGCTGGTCACAGGCTCGTGGAGCAGCACGTTCAGGCCTTAGCTGCTCCGATACGCAACGCGCAACACGTAGCGCACCTGGAGCTCAGCACGTTGACTGAAAATGTGGGCCACTACGCGGAACCACGTAGACTGGAAGTGTGGGCTCAACACGTAGACTGAGCACTCAACATGTATGACGCGAGACGTTCACAGAAACGTGGGCCAATACGCTGAGCCAACACGCAACGTACTGGCACGGACGCTTTAAGCACAATACGTGTTGCGTGTCAAAACGGGCGTACGGAAGCAGCTAAGGTTCAGGCTCTTCAGGTCCCGGTGCATGATCCCCTGCCCGTGCAGGTAGGCCATGCCCTCGGCGATGTCCTCGGCCAACTTGAGCTGCTGCCTCAGGGAGACCTGGTGGTCGGAGAGGTGCAGCAAGCCGAACATCGTGCCCCCACGGCAGAGCTCCAGCACGAGATCGAAGGTGGGACCTCCGTGGCAGAAACCCAACAGGCGCACCAGGTTCGGGTGCTGGCAGCGCGCCATCACGTTGAGCTCCCGCATGTTGATGACGTCCATGGCCTGGCTCACCGGCGCGCGCTTGACCGCCACCTCCCTGCCCCGCAGCCAGCCGCGGAAGACCTCCGCAACGGACCCCGAGCCGATTGTCTCTCCCATGGCCAACTCGTCGCGCCGGATCAGTAGCTCCTGCGGGGACCGACGCCGCTACTCCCAGGGCCTTTTCCTGGGCGCATTCTGAGAGAACTCCGAACAGTGCGTTATAGCAGACTAGGTGGTCCAATGTATGTGGTGCAAGCTGTGTGGCGCAAGCTGTGTGGTGACAACTATCTGATGCAATCATCGTAGTGCGAGCTAAGTGGCGTAACGTACTTTGCGCAGGTTATGTGATCCAGTATATGTGGTGTGAACTAAGTTGTGTAAGGTATGTGGTGCAGTCAGCGTGGGAGAAACAAGTGTACTCATCCATGTGGTGTAAGCTACGTTGTGGCATCTAAGCGGTGCGGCCAATGGCGTTTGAGAGATGTAGAGAATTGTAAAAGGGGCAAGCCATGTGGTGTAAGCAGTGTGGTGTAGACTAAGCGATGCAATGTAGACAGCGCAACTTATATTTATACACATGTACACATACGCATACATATACATATATATATATGAATACTTTTATGTGCTAATCTGTAACAATGTACATTTATGTGGCCGCCCCCTGGGATGATACCTGTCTCTGCTTCTCTACTTCGTCATCGTGTTCCTCTCTCTTCTATCTCATCCCCCTCTCCTCTTTCTCCTCCTCCTCCTTCTCCTCATTTTAACATAAAACCTTCAAAAACACATGGTAATTTCAATAATTGTGACCCCGATTCTCAGGGAATGGCGGTTTCGCTTGAAAAATCCGTCCAAAATCGAGCCTCATGGGGACCTCCTGGAACCTCCTGGGGCCTCCTGGGGCGTTCTGAACCTTCTGGCACCCCAGACCCCGCCTCGGAGCCTCTGAGCCTCCTGGGGGTGTCCTGAAACCTCCTGGGGCCTCCTGGGGCCTCCTGCGGCCTCCTGGAGCCTCTTGGGGCCTCCTGAAGCCTCCTGGGGTCTCCTGGGGCCTCCTGAGACCGCCTGGGGCCTCCTGGGGCCTCCTGGGGCTTCAGAACTACATGCACACAGAGACACAAATCACGCCCAACACATCACACGCTAGACAAACATAACACACACACACACAACACCTACAACACACAAAAAGCACGCACCACACAAAGCATACATCACACACACACACACGCACAACACTCACAATCCTGGGGCCTCCTGGAGCCTCTTCTGGTATCCAAGTCGGGCCTCCTGAGGCTTCCTGGGGGGCCCTGGTACACACATCGCAAGATGTGGCAACCCCACTTGCGCTCGAGTGCGACTTCGATGTTGCATGTCACTCCTGCTTCAAACGCCCCTTCAGTTTTTTGTATGAGCCTGGGCACGCACGTGCCACTTGTATATGAATATTATTATGTGCTAATCTGTAACTATGTACATTTATGTGGCCGCCCCCCTGGGATGATACCTGTCTGTGATTCTCTACTTCGTCATCGTGTTCCTCTCTCTTCTATCTCATCCCCCTCTCCTCTTTCTCCTCCTCCTCCTTCTCCTCGTCCTCCTCGTCCTCCTCTTCTTGCTCGTCCTCCTCTTCCTCTTCTTTCTCCTCCTCCTCCTCCGCTTCCTCTCTGTAGCAATACACAATCAATAACAGACAGCGTTTGGCGCCGTCAGTGCAAAGAAACGCTGTGATTGTTTTTGTTTATTTGTCTGGTTAGTGGAACCCCGAACAATGTGTTTTTTGTCGGGGGAGGGGGGCCGCTTTGCAGGTCCAAATGTGCGCCTCGGCCTCCCTCGCAGCACCTCGCTCTGAACCTGCAAAAACAAAAATACACAACAACAAACAATAGTTGGCGCTCCTGGTGCAAGAAAGCGTTGTGTTTTGTTCGTTCGCGGCCCTAGTGGTTCTTCAGACCCTACTGTTCGCCGCGGCCTCTCTCGCAACCCTTCTCTTTGAGCTTGCGCAAAAAAACTAAGAATACACAGTGTGTCCTTGCATCCCAAGACAATATTCCCCGAACCCCCAAAAAACACCATATCCGGCGCCTCTGGTGCAAGGAAACCTGTGTTGTGGGCTATGCTTTTTTGGTGGGTGAAGCCACGAAACATTCTGTTGTTGGTTGGTTTTGCAAGCCCCGGTGCTCGCCGCGGCCTCTCTCGCAGCCCTTCTCCTCGAGCCTGCGAAACAAAAGAAAAAACAAACTAAGAATACACAGTGGTTCCTTCAATCCCAAACCAAAACATCCAAAACAAAAAAAAGTAGTTGGCGCCTGCGGTGCAAGGATTTGTTGTGTGTTATGCGTTCTTGGGTTTAAGATATAACGAAGAAATGTGTTTTTCGTTGGTTTTGCAAGCACGTTCTCGCCGCGGTCTTCGTCGCAGCACTTTTCCTTGAGCCTGCAAAACCAAAACAAATACACAGTGTTGCCTTGCTCCCTGAATAAAAACGACCGAAACAAGCAAGACAACTCAGCGTTTTCTTGAACTGGGGTTGAGCACGCCTGGCCATGAAGGATTCCTGCGTTCAGATTCCGTATGAAGAACTCATGAATAAAAGGCTCCCCAGGGAGGAATTCTGAATGCAGATTCTTTCGTGGGGATTCCTGAAATACGCATTCCTTAAGCAGGGCTCCGTAAGTGAGATTACTTATTAAGAAGACTCCTCAACGACTCCCTTTGACAGATTTCTTACGTCGAAATTCTTACTAATACTGTTGGGTTGAGATTCTTTGTATAGGATTCCTTAGGCAAGAGTTGTGAATAGCAGATCTGTACGAGGGCATCCTTCTCGATGGGCTCCTTAATCGATATGCCTTTTAAAAGATACTCCGCATGAGGGATCCCGTGGAAAAGATACCATATAAAATGGGGTTCTGGTTAAGGATGCCTCCTGAAAGGTTCCTTATGAAGGGTTGCTTAATGAGTATTCGGTTTCACGAATTCCTTCCTGAGGATTCCATATTCGGGATTCCTGGAGTTTTTGATCCTTCTGAAGGATTCCGTATGGAGGGTTCCTTGTTGAAGATTTGTGTAATCATATTCCTGATTCAGGGCTCCTTCATACATAGAATTCAATACGGATTCCTTCGTGCACACTCCTGCTTAAGGACTCCTGAATCCTTATGACGGGTTAGTTGAGACAGACCCCTTCGTAAGAATTCTTTTGTTAAGATTCCTTCTTCGGGAGTCCTTGGAAGGGATTCCACATTGAGGTTTCCATGATAAAGGTTTCCGTAGTAGAGATCCCTTGGTAAGGACCCCTTGGGACATATTCCTGGGAACGAAACCAGTACTCCGGATTCTTTGTGCAAGAAACGTCGTCGAGCCCGTCTGGCAACTTCCCTACGTAAGATTCCATATTGAGGACCCATTATGCAAGATTCCTTTCTGTGTGTTATTTCGTTTAGGCTTATGTATTGAGCGTTCATTGGTTAAGAGTTTTTATTCTGAATTTCTCGGTTACGGGTCCGGATTAGAAGGGTTGCCCAATAAACATTCCGCACTAAATATTCACTCGGAAACATTATTCGTAAGGATTCCTCGGCAAATGTTCCTTGTTAAGGGTTCCTTAGTTAGACACCGCATGAAAGATTCCTTGTGCAAATCTTGCGTTTACTACGGGACCCTTAATCAAGACCCCTTTACCAAATATTCCTCGTTAGCTGATCCTTATTAAAGATTCCACCTGCTCCTCCTCCTCATCCTCATCATCGGCATCGCCATCGTCATCATCGTCACCATCATCGTCGTCATCGTCGGGGTCGCGCTCGTCTTTTCTAGCTCCTCTCACTCCTCGTGGGGGAAACATACAACATCTTGATATGCCCCGCCGCCCTCAGCCAGAGGTCGCACTGCCCCGCTGAAGGAGGATTAGAGGATGAGGAAGAAAGGCGGAGAGCGGGGAGCAAATGAGGGGGAGGACGGAACAATGAAACAATGGGTAGCATCGCAGCCAAGGCAAATGGCATGACCACAGGGGGGACACACACACATACAGACATACATATATACACATATATAGATATGTATATGTGTGGTGCGAGCCGTAGCGGCGCAGTGTATGCAATGCAACATATGTGGTGCAAGCTATAGTGGTGCAGTCCTTGCACTGCAGTCTACGAGGTGATAACAATGGGATGCAACCAATCACGTGCTCAACTTCACGCTGTCCTCTACACTACTCGTGCAAACATCTCACCCTCCCACCCGCAACCTGGTCGCAAGACCTCAAGACCGTGACGGTAGGTACCAAATGGCACTTCGCAGCGACACCAACGCCGACGACGGCAGCGACAACGACGACGACGACGCCGACAACGACTACGAAGAGACCGACGGCGTCTCCAACGACTTCGACGACGACGACAACGACAACGACGACAACGACACCGACGACGAAGACGACGACGACGCCGACGACGACGAAGACGACGACGATGACGACGCCGACTACGACGACGACGTCGCCAAACGAAGACGACGACGACGAAAGAGGAGGGAGGACGACGACGGCGACAACGAAGACGACGACGATGGAGGAGGGAGGACGGCGACGACGCGAACGACGAAGAAGGAGGGAGGACGGCGACGCCGCCGACGACAACGACGACGGAGGAGGGAAGACGACGACGACGACGACGACGACGGCGACGAAATAGGAGGAACTACGAGGAAACGCCGACGACGGACGACGACGAGGGAGGAGGAAGGACGACCACGGCGACAACGACGACGGAAATGACGACGACGCCAAAGAGGACGACGACGACGACGAGGAAAGACAGAGGACGACGACGGCGACGACGACGACGACGAGAAGGGACGGCGACGACGACGTCGACGACGACGCAAGAGCTCGCGCGCACGTTTCTATTGAACCTCCTTGTTTCGAAACCTTTTGTTTTTGTATGTTTTGCGGGCACGTATTTTGTGTAATCCTTCCGGAAGCGCAGGTTTTTGAAGGATTTCGGCATGCGCGCGCGACGACGCGCGCGCGTGCACTTCGCCTTGTTCGTGTGCAGAAGAGTCTCGCGACGACACGCGCGCAATGGCGTTCGAACGATTTCGACATGCGCTTGCGCGAAGCCCGTTTGGTATCTGTAGCA